ATTGACGATATTTTCGAAATTTAAAGAACATTTGTCTGGAAAATGGATGAACTTTTTTTGATTTATGAACTTTTTTTCAGTTCCATGAACTTTTTCTAAAAATACATGAACTTTTTTTCAATTTCTATGAACTTTTTGTGATTTAATGAACTTTTGCTCAATTGGATGAAGTTTTTTTCAATTTGAATAAACTTTTTCCAAATAGATGAACTTTTTTTAAAATTGATGAACCTTTTACCAAGATATGAGCCTATTCTTTCAAATGAATGAACCTTTTTTCTTTAAATCTGTAAACCTTTGTTGATTTCATATTTTTAGTTTCGTTACAACTTGTTTGAAAAACTGGGGGCAGCACGCTATTGGGCCGGCCCATGCCAGCAGCGCTGCAGGCACCGGATCGTTAACGGGCGCCTGCAGCGCTGTATAGGAGTCGTTTGATGAATCAACCACTCACCTGTGGAGCTTAAAGACTAAAAAAAGAAACTGTGGAGCTTAATAACAAGACCAGACCACATCCTGTTCTTCTGTTTTTTTCTTCATTTATTAGTTTTATTTATAATCCCAACATGGAAAGATAATTTACTTAAACTTTTGCAAACATTCATCATGCGTTTTAAAAATGTTCATGCAGTGTAAAATAATGTTTGTGCAACTTATAAAAATGTTGACAGCATTCAAAAAAATGTGCTATCATTTCAGAAATATATTTACGTGTTAACACAATGTAAAAAAATAAAGTATTTTAGAAAACAAATGTTCATAACAATAAAAAATTGTTCATGACATTTTATACAATAATGTTTACGTGCTTAAAAAATATGTTCATGACACCTTTCCTAAAAAAACAATTATACAATATAAATAAAATGTACGTACAATTTTAGAAAAATGCTCTGTACCATTCCAGAATATGTTCATGATTTTTTTTAAATGTTATTGCAATGTCAAAAAATTGTTCATGTAATTTGAAAAACAATATTTTGTACCGTTGAAATAAATGCCCAACGTGTATTTGAAAAATTCTTATCGTGTAATGACCATACATTGTTTGGAAAAAAACTTCTTATATTTGGAAATTTTCGACGTGTATAAAGAAAATGTATAAATGACACTAAAATAAAAGTAGACATGTATTTAAAAAAATATAAACAGAAGAAACCAAGATAAAACTTATAAATAAACCTAACAAAGGCCACGCATTGAGCAATCGTGATTATTTAGAATTTAGATTGCTGGTAGTACTAATGACTATTCCTACCATAATCAGTTAGTTAGAAATGGGTGTGAATTTTCTGTGATAAAGTGATAATGGGTGTGAATTTCGTGCTAATGACAATTGCGTACCATAATCAACATGTTCTTGAAGCTAAAGCAGACGGGTGTCTTTACAAAGAAGAAATGCATGGCCTAGTACTCTGTGCACCTCATACATAATTCTTCATCCATGATATTTTTGCAATAATATACAGTTTAAATTAAAATCACAGCCGTCCTAGAAGTCTTTTCGACAATCAAGGCACGGATATAGTGAAGCTATTTACGTATGGTGTAAAAAATTTACATTTTAATTTTTTTCTGTAATGTGAAACCTAAGAGCCGCAATCTCCCTTACACGTAGCCGCTTATGTCTCCCTTCCTCACAGTTGCCGCCTCTTATCTCTCTCCCTCCCTCTCCTTCCGCACTGCTAGAGAATAGTGGTTGCGCTAAGCATCGACACTGGCCAATGATGGCGACGACGGTAAGGTCTGTGCTCGGTAGCTTTCCGCGACGAGATGCAGAGGGCTAGGATGGCTGCGTAATGGTGGCAGTGGCGGTGGTGTTCCTGACCGTGTCGACGACATGTGGTAGTGAGGCATCGGTGGCCATTATCCTATCTGCAGGTATGTGACATTGGCGGCAGGATTCTGCGTCCCAACGAGGAGGTCCTCTGCTTGGGGTGAGGGTGGCCTTTTCTTTTTTGTCCAGAATTGAACAAAAAAGAAATTAGGGAAGATTCGTGGTCCGGTGATGGTAGGTGGTTTTCGCAAGGGCCGAAGGGTCTTGGACCTTCAAATCCGGCGACAACAATGAGTATGTATTGCCGGTCAATTCTGCCGCCACAGACGAGGATGCTGCGGCATGAGAATGGTGCGAGACTTCCTGAGCATCCTGAATTGGGATCTTGGCAGTGTTGGTGACCTTCGTCTCTCAGCGATCTTCATCACATGTGCGATGATGGCCTTTGTCGTTCAGAGACTTTGGTGGCGACCGACTCTTATTGCGGCTCGACTTCCTGCTTGTGCGGGTCGTGATCTTCACGTGCATGGCATTTCATGTCAAAACAGTGCTATGTGTGGCTATTGGGATCACGGAAAGTGATGGCGGTATCACATAATGACTCCGATTTGATGGTGCTTCTCGAGTATCCGGACTCAGGCTCTAATTTGAAAACCCTATGCCCGTCCCTAGTTGATTACTCCCTCCGTCCGGGTTTATTGGTCCCAAAGACCAAAACAGCAAGACCAAGAAAAAGTACTTGGTTACAGGGTTGGGAGATTATTAGCACTATTAATGAGCCTTACAAGTGTAGTTTGAAAATCAAAAAAATTTAACATGTGCTATATCTTCGAAAAATTGATCTCATTAATCTCACCTAAGGGTAGATCCTATACTAGTCTCACCCGGTAGTACCTAGCAACGATGGTGTTTTGTTGCCTGGTTAAAGACATTGCTCAAATTTTTTTATTTAAGTTTCAGGGTGAAATACCAGGATCTGACCTTCAATGGTTCGATCCGATGATGAGGACAAAGCTTCGTTGTTGTTTCCAACCCGGAGGCTTGCCACCGGTGAATCTTTCTGATTGCCTTTGCGATGTGAAAATATGGTTGGCGCAAAAGGTCGTTGTTCTAGTTCATTGATAGTTGTTTTTATTGCTTTAGATTTTTTTTCCCTTTGCCTAGTCATAGCTTTGATCTTGTATATGCTTTTATCAGCGTGATTTTTGCGTGTGCGTTGATTTTTTTATCTATTTTTGCGAGAGAAATTTCCAATATATTCATCAATCATGACAGCACATAGAATACAAGATGTAATAAAAATTACAACCAGGTCTATGGACCACCTAGCGATGACTACAAGCACTGGAGCGAGCCGAAGGCGCGCCGCCGCCGTCATCCCTCCATCACCAGAGCCGGACAAACCTTGTTGTAGTAGAGAGTCGGGAAATCGTCGCGCTAAGGGCCGAAAGGACCAGTGCATCAGAGCAGCAACCATCGCCAATGAAGAGAGTTGTAAATCAAAAAAAAATCAAACGTGCAACCACACGAACGAAGACTAACAAAAACTGGATCCATATAGATCCACCGAAGACCAGCACCGATTGAATCTCATGAGATTCAACGGAGACACACCTCCACACATCCTCCGACAATGCTATTCGCAACATCGGGACGGGATAGGACGTGGGAGACATTATTTTTAGGGAGTGACATCGCCACCACCACACAGCTCCGACCAAGACGTTCAACCTAACAAAAACGAGAACGGGGTCCCTCCCGCCAGCAGGGGGCAGAGATCCTCCGCACCTTCACAGCCCAAAGGCCATCGAAGATGGAGCGGATCGGCGGCGATGCCGGCGGGAGGAGGAAGAAGACTTTTCTTGCGTTGATTTTTTGTCTGTGCATCTCGTAGGTGTCTAGGCGTGTTTATCGTGTTTGTATTTCTTTCATGCTTTTTTTAAACCAATAAAATCACCCTTACCTTAGTAAAATTGCATACGGTGTGTGTGGCCCATCAAGCGGTCCGCGTTCAGAAGATTGACCGAGCGAGTGATCCCCACGGCGAGCAGGACCGCCACCCTCCCCTCCCCTCCCCCCGTGCATCACGCACAAGCCATACGTGCACACACCGCGGCGTCCGGCGTGTAATAATAAGAAAAGAAAAGTTGGCCACCACGCCGAAACGAACCAAAATAAGCCGGCGAGGCTCACGAGGACAGCCGTAAAAAACCTTTCGACCGTTTCGCCAATCCAAGAACGAAAGAAAACAGAAACGGAGAGCGTGCGTGCGCGCGCGGTTTTGGCTTTTTCCGGCGTGCCGGCGGGGGGCGGCGCCGCAGCACGCACGCAGGAGAGAGAGCTCGAGGCACGCTGTGTGCCGCGCAGACGGTTTTCCAACTGCTGTGCGTGAGTGTGTCACACACTACCCATGACCTTATCTCTCTTGTTTTTACCATCTTTGTCACACCGTGGAGTGCTGCTCAACTGCTGTGCACAGCCAGTCACAGAAGAAGCCACGTAACGTCACTCTGTTTTCTTTCTTCGGACGAGGCCACCCGTCGGTGACTCGTGAGCGGCCTTGATTATCTGGAACTTGGGCTTGCCAGATGGCTCTACCAGCACATTCTTCCTCTGCCCGTCTCCAGATTGCTGGTGGCACGTACGTGCAGCAGTGGTAATGACAATTTTCGTACGTGCCACGATCGGTTCGTTAGAGACGGGTACGAATTTCCGCGACAACATGGTAATGGGCACCAATTATCTCCGGCTTGAAAAAACCGGTTGTTTCGATTAGGTGGATAAGCATGCACGTATAGGCTTGTTTAGAAGCAATCTTATCTAAATCCGCTATCTTCTTCTTGCAAATTAATTAAGGGTTTAGTGTTTATTTCTCTCTCTCTCTCTCTCTCTCTCTCTGCGCGCCATCTTATCCCGGCCTTATAAATCGGGGCGCCCACGTAGCGGCACGCGAGCACGCGCGACGGAGTCCACACCACGCGCCACGCCACGCCACCGCCCGCGCGCTAGCTCTTCGTCAGGTCCGTCCGTCCGTCGTCCACGCCCACGACCCCGCGCCACATGCCGGCCGTCAGCCGGTTCAACGCCCCCGCCGGCCCGGCGCCCAGCATATAGCCCCGCACACGCCATCCCACCACTCGCGACCGCCGACCCCCGACAGGTCCAGATCATCCATCTTCCCCAGCCTCCACAATTCGAGCTCGGACCAGCTGGTTTAACCGCCATGGGGTGCGGCTTCTCGACGGGGGCGGCGGGCGGCGGGGGCGGGCTGCGGCCGTTCGCGGGGGTGCGGGTGATCCACACCAACGGCTACGTGGAGGACTTCCCCGCGGGCGAGGACGGGGCGCCAGTCACCGTCGCGCGCGCCACGGCCTCCTCGCCCTCCTCGTGCCGGTACGTGCTGTGCTCGTCGGCGCACCTGCTGCAGCCGGGCCGCGCGCTGTTCCGGCCGGACGACGCGCTGCAGCCGGGCACCGTCTACTTCCTGCTCCCGCACTCCATCTTCCAGGCCGAGTCCTCCGCGGTCGACCTCGCCTGCCTCATGAACCGCCTCACCGCGCTCGCGCGCAAGGGCGGCGGCCCCGCGCCCAGCGCCGTCGACGCGCTCTTCTCCGGCGACTCCGCCCAGCGCCGCGGCAGCAGCCCCGAGGCCGAGGGGCAGACCGCCAAGCCGCCCCGCCCCGCCGCCAAGAGCTGCGCCGCCGCCGCCGCCTCCGCGGGGCCGTGGCGGCCGCGGCTCGACCGGATCGACGAGTCCATGGGCCGCTCCTCCATGCGGAGCGCCTCCACCCTGAGCAACCGCAGCAGCCAGGACTAGCTAGGATCTTCCTCTGCTCGCCGCCGTTTCGTTTTTGTTGCTTGCTTGCAGTGATTTGCAGTAGTTTTGTACCGCCATCAATGAACTAGATTTTCTCCTTCTGTTAGTCGTCCGTTTTCCCTGCTTGTTCATAATCAATCTGTACATTTGGCAGTGATTTGCACTAGTATCAGAAACCAGATTTCCTACTGTTCTCTTGTCCATTCTCCTGCTTGTTCATCATTAATCTCTATGTATGCGCATGTTTCTCTTCGTGTACGTATTACTAGAAGATGAGATTAGTGCGGCTAATGATAATGGAGAAGGGAAGAATGAGCGCGGTAGGTTAGGTTAGACAGGTGCACCCAATGTCGTCCCACCATGATGGCGATCTGCGAGTCTTGGTCCGACGAGACCCATTCGCTGTGCACTCACTCGCACAACACAAGCAAGCAAAGTACGCAAGTGGAGCACAGTTCGTTTGACTTTGGGGCGGGATCAATTCGTAATCTATCTCCAAGTGGACACAGGAGTGGGGCTGGGGGGTCACTCTCCCTCCATGTAATGCCGAGGCTGCCACCTCACCAAACCCCTCGTTAACTTCATTTTCAGACAAAACAACAACACCCACCGAATAATCCATATGTCAATTTGAAAGGAAGAAAAAAAATCCAAATGTCAAACCCCATCTCTTCTCTCCCCGGTTTCAACTCGAATTTAGTACGTACAATTGATTGAAGATACACATACACCCACCCACGCACGCATGGGGAGTTTTGTACGCAAAAGATTCCCGAGTCATTTTACGGAAAAATCAGATATCTAGTACTCTCTCTTTATTTTTATAAGACTTTGAAGACATTTCAGTCAATGTACAAAATAGCCCATTTTAAGTTGTCTGAAGTGACTTATAAAAATGAACGGAGGGAGTATATTACCGCTTTCTTTGAGTTCACAAGTAAGATTTGGTCAAAGTCAAACTTGATTAACTTTGACTAAGTTTATAGAAAAATATATCAAGATTCACAGTATGAAATTAATACTGTTAGATGCATCATGAAATTAATTTTCATATCATATAGCTTTAGTATGGTAGATGTTACTATTTTTCTCTATAAAGTTGGTCAAACATTACAGAGTTTGACTTTGATCAAATCTTATATGCAGATTAAAAAGAAACGAAGGGAGTATACATTTCAAGCCTTATTTTGAGTGTCCATTTTATATCGGACCAAAAAAACAAACTGGCTAATTATCGCCTGCCATTCAATGTGGTTGTGCAGCCGAATCTACTAATTTTGTAGGTTGGGTTTCGGTTAACAACAATTGACTGCTGGCCCGTGGACGTTTACTCCGACAGTTGGAGTTTCGGTTAACAACAATGGGCTGCTGGCACTTGCAGACGCTCATCACTCACTCCACAGCCCCCATGGGCGCGCTGGATACGGCACATCTCTCTGGGCCACTCTGCCCGTCTACGTCCCGCCACCTAGGCTAGGCCAGTCAGTACGTACTCGCCACATCTCTGTCGCACGACTAATAAATACACGTACGTACTGCTAGCCCGTAGAGGTGGGTAGATAGATGCGTGAAACCAGCGACATAAACGAGGATGGATGGGCACGCAAAAGGTTTTTAACATCGAGTTGGGCGGGCAGTCTCTTTCAGCGCTCTGTTGCCGGGCACGCCCACAGGCAGGGTAAAAACAACAATGTTGTGTGCAGCGAAAGATGACAACTATCGCTCCTTGCGTTGCCCTGCCATCCACGTTAGCTTTTTTTTTTTGACCCGGGCCATAACCCCTTTCCATTAAATGCATAACGGAAATACAAAGTTCAAAGTTCAACGAACACAGACCCAACATAAGCGGCTACAGCATAAGGAAGCAAGAAAGGGGTCAGGCGAGATCAAAGCATCACTGGGGAACCCACTATGAGCACTCGTCATCGAGCAGCCCATCGCGGGGCGAAAACCCAGTGACACCTAGCATCATGCAAACCACTAGACCTAACCAGATCAAGGCAAACTCCAACAGAAATCATAACAGTACTACAACACCCTGCTCGTAGGCAAAACACAGGAGAGCAAAAGACACTCGCCCAGGAGTGCGATCCACCAAACGGGTAAACACAGTCTCGAAGCTTTTTTGCCTTGGTGGAGTAGAATCAGTTCGTCGTCGATGGAGGTGCACAAATCCTCATCATCGTTGAGGCATTCGATCTCAGCATCTTGGCTCCGCGCTCCATGGACTCTCGATCCTCACCAGCCATCAAACCTGCCAGTATGTCAAAAAGCCATCCACGTTAGCTGACTCACCCTGGGAACTACGACGCCATGGGCGACCAACTTCTTTTTTAGCTGCGCACCTTTCATTATTTTTCACCAAGTTCGTTCAAAAATATGTAGATTTTGCGACATGGAAAGCAATGCCGTCGGGTTCAAACGTGATTTTGCGATTATCGAAAAATATACAGTAGAGAAAAAACAGGGAGGGAAAGTTCAATTTTGGAGATGCGGCCAAACCAAACCAAACTGCAGGTTACAAAAATGTAAAATGGCTTCGATGGCTGCGGCGGTTTGTTCAGAGCAGCTGCATCCATCCTAACCCTTTCGAGAAAATTCTTTATTTGACACTATCTTAAAGTCTGCTTCTTTATTTGACACTGAAAAAAATTACTTTTCTATTTGACACAAGTTCTAAATTTTATTTCTTATATGACATTTTCGTTCATTTTGAGCCTAAATGTCACCTGAAAAGACTCTTTTGCCCCTCATGTGGTATGTGTGTGGGGGGCAATAGCGCACATATGCAGCACCGGTGCGAGGGCAGGAGCACACACGCATCAACACATACACACGCACGCGCGCACACACACGCAACAACACGCACGCGAACGTGCGCACACACACACACGCAGCAACACACATGCACGCGCACACACACGCACGCAGCACACACGCACGCAGCACACACACACATACACACACACGCAGCAACACACATGCACGCAGCAACACACACGCACGCAGCACACACACATACACACACACACGCAGCAGCACACACACAGGCAGCACATAGGCACGCAACAGCGCACACACACGCGCGCGCACGCAGTAGCAAACACACACGTAGCGGCACACATGCACACACACATGCAGCAGCAACACACATGTGCGCGTGCACCCACACACATGTGCGCGTGCACCCACACACGCAACAGCACACACACGCGCACACACATACCGCATGAGGGGCAAAATCGTCTTTTCAGATGCCATTTAGGCTCAAAATGGACGGAGGTGTCGTATAGGGAATAAAATTTAAGACTAGTGTCAAATAGGGAAGAGAAACTTTTTCAGTGTCAAATAAGGAATCAGATTTTAAGACAGTGTCAAATAAGGAATTTTCTTAACTCTTTCAGGTCCATCTTAACTGGTAACCTACGAAGAGCTGATTTGTGCCGCCACTTGTCGCCGACGCGGCATAGCAGTTGTTGATACAGTAAAAAAAAGTCCAATACAGCCTACACTGGAGTCCGCAATGGCAATGGCAATCTGCCTGCCGCCATTTGTCACTGACGCGATGGTGTCCAGTCAAGTTCTACGCGTGGTCCATCTCTTGACCCCAGGAAATCAAGATGCAACACGGAAGCTTTTCGTTGAGCATCCACAGATTAGGGCCAAATCCAGTGCCCCGGTGCGGTTATTCGGGACTTTGTCAAACCATGTGACGCAGCTTTTGACTACTTTTCAGCACGAGATCAACACACAGGAGATGCATCCACACAAAAGGTAATAAACAAATTAAAAGCGAGCTATGTAAGAAATAGTCACATACTTCACGCTAGCAAATTATATGATTCTCATCTTGTTCTTAGTCTAGACATCAGGACGCTGTATGCCGGTCACCCGGTGAGGACGATCAAATTCTTTCATCATTTTCCTCTTAACATCTTTTCGTGGCCAGGATCATGCCGATTGGCAAGCGGAGAGGGTCGCATCTCGCCCCTGGCCAAATGGTTGCATATCATTATCAACATACCACCTTCTTGCAAAAAGATACGCAATGCTTATGTGTGTTCGAGAAAAAGTAGTCCACATAGTAGTACAAAAATAACCACCCAATACCTGGTCCGTTGGATGTGAGGAAATCAATTATGATAGCAACATCGAGGTAGGCATCGCCTCAGACTACTCGAGTGATAGATAAGTAAAACAAGACGATATTTCCAAGCCAAAATGTTCCAAGGACAGCCGTATTGATAGTTGACATATATGTCTCATAGCAAGACTCCTCCATCAGACTGAGGGTCCAATTTGACCGACAGCCTACCTTTTTGCATATTTTGTACTTCCTTTGTAAACAAATATAAGAGCGTTTAGATAATTAAAATAGTGATCTAAACGCTCTTATATTTCTTTACGGAGGGAGTAGAAAAGTAAGAAGTATATATATAAAAAAAATCTTCAGGTTCGGAAACTTGCACAATCATGGATCATGGATCATGGATGCTAGCTAGTAATGGCAATAAATTTATACTTCAAGCATATCTCATAGTAGTGAAGTTAACAACCAGGAGGGTCCATGAGAGTCCCCATGAGCTCCCCTCCCACGCCTGTCCCCGCGCCGCCGCCGGCGGCGGTGGCTCCCCTCTGCGCCGACCACGGATTCGCCTCCTGGTTCATGCCCCTGCCTCCGCCTCCGGTTGGTCGTCCGGGTGCGGTTGCGCTGCTGCGGAGATCTACTCCCCTCCTGCGTTCTTCCTCCCTGCCACGGCTAGATCCAGTTCCAACGAGCTGCGGCCAGGACGGTGACTTGGCCGTCGTGGAGTTTGTCCCTGACTCGCAGCCGCTCGCGGCGTCCGTCCGGGCTGCGGTTGGGTCGGCTCAAGCCCCTCCCCCTGCGCATGCCGCACGCCTTGAAGTTCCGGTCGGTGGAGGCATTAACTGCTCGGGTGCGGAGCAGCTGGCCGCCTCCATCCCTCCTACCTCTGGTGCGCCTTCAATGCCGGCGATGC